AAGAGGGAAAGAAAGGAAGTATGAGGAGAGGAAGACAGAGAGAGAGAAAGAGAGAGATAACAGCAGAGCAAAGGAGAGAGAGAGAAAGAGGAGGAGCAACAGAAGAAAGAGAGATACACACAGCTCCACACACATCAGTGAGTGAGTGACAGTAGATGAGGGATACAGGAAATAAAAAGAGTAAGAAGACTGAAGAAAGAGTAAAGACAAAACTAGGGAGAGAAAACATAAAGCAGAGAGTGAGGCAGAGGGGGGCTGCTGCTGGGAATCCATCCAGCACACTGCAGAGAGAAACCAGTGAGGCTGGGAGAGGACTGGGAGGACAGACTGGTTTTACGAGCAGACTGCAAAGCACCATGGCCGACAACGTGAGCGAGGAGTCTGATTATACCCCGGGGAAAGATGAGCTGGACTGGGGCTACGAGGAAGGTATGGGGGATCCATCTACAGGAGGAGGGATGCTGGGAAACATCCAGTGCTAGCTGGTGTCAAAGGGTCCAGATTTGAAAGGGGTCTTGACCCCAAACTTCACTTAAAGCAGATACACAAACTGAAACAACTGAAGCGTTGACTTTATTTAAATGTATGATGTCAACAGATTTCACATAACTGTATTAGGTTAGTTGAAAGCAATTATATTAAGTTGAACCTAATATTTTTAAACTTAATTATTGCTTTCAACCATCCTAATACAGTTATGTGTACTTTGATGACATAATACATTTAATAAACGGCAACGTTTCAGTTTTTTCCGTGCATTTACTACATTTGCCAGAATTGGTCAAAACGTTTTGCAAATGTAGTCTCTGCACAGAAGTAACTGACATCCTAGAAAAATAAATGTGTGCAGTTTCCGTCAAACAGGACACCATTATACAGCACAACATAGTTTAAAGTGCAGGGTCTAATCCCCGAACGCAATTGATGTGTTATTTACTGTATACTGTGCCGGCCTGTTGCAGTGGTGACACACACTGGAGATGCTGTGTTGGGTTGTTTAACATGTCTGTTCAAAGAAGACGAAAATGAGAAAAATCTAATATTTGTCTCATTTGCTCCTCCCTCTTTTAGGTAACTTTCACTCATTCATTTTTGACTTCTAAACAGTTATAGAATTGTTCTTCAGCTGTACAGGATGCACTTTATATCAAAGCAGCAGCATTAGTTTGTTTGGAATATAAATAAAAATACGTACCTCAACATTATGTAAAACACAGAGTGCAAAATCTCCAAAGGAAACGTCACCATATCCACAAAGCTGGTGTGAATATTAAGACAGTCTTGAGGATCATTAAAACTATTCATTAATAATCATGCATCTCCTTGATGTGTGATGGAATTAAAGGGCAATTACAGAAATGTATCTAATTACTATTTGGACATACAGTTGCAAAGTTAGTACAAATGCTATTGATTTGCAAAATGTACAAAAAGAAATAGATCTGTACCCTCAGGTTTCTTCCTGCTGGAGCCAAATATGTTAAACAGCTGTTCATCATCTGTTCTGATAATTATTGCACCAGGAGTGAGGTTTGCCCGTTGAAGCCGGGGAAATAATCCCACTGTCAGTCAGTTACGTTTTCTGTAGGCACTTTAACCCCTGGTCTGAACTCCTCTCACTCAGTAACTCTATTCATGTCCCTCAAACTCACCTCTCACAGTTTGTAATGAGGGATTTCTATTGTACATACAAGCTGACATCATGATGTTTTTGTAGACATAATACAACTACAGTATCTCAAAGCAATACTTCCCATAACATATAAGTTGATCTTGGTGGAGTGACCCTTTTTTTTTGACAAACAAGATAAAAGTAAGACACTAACAAGCTTACATGCCTACTTTCAAATTCTAAAATGAACTTCTCTTGTCCGATACATTGTCCCAGATGTTTAGTATTGTTACAGTTGTCATGCAGTTCTGATTTAAAGACTTAATTTAGGCTGTGTTGGTTCACTCTGTCTTCTTTTTATTGCTGCTTACTGAGCACCGGGGACACTGTGACTATACTCAGAGCTCTGTATGCCTGAATTACACACTAAAGTCAGGCCTGCACTACCATCAGTGTCCTGTGGATAAATGTGTGTCATAAACGTAGTGTAATATCTTAAATACAGGAAAAGTAATTGAGTGCTGAAAATAAATACATGATTTTTTTTTTATTGGAATCATGCAGAGAAGATGTCTGTGCATTTGAAGATCAGAGACTTTCTGCAGGACACTTCGTAGTTTATAAGGTCTAATATTATATCTTACACATTTCTTTTGCAGAACATAATGGTTTCCATAACACACTTCCTATCCAATGTCCCACGTTCCCCTTTTCTATGTAAACTGAATAGAATAGCTATGCAAGGCTATGCTGCAAATCAAAGCTGCTTCCTGCTGCTCTCGGTTTACAGTTGTTGTTCTCTAGATCAGTGGTTCTCAAATGGGGGTACGCGGACCCCTAGGGGTACGTTGGAGTACTGCAGGGGGTACGTGCGATTTATTTTATGATAATGAAAAAAAAACATAAGTAATGCATTTAAACAAACTACTAATAGTAGATTAACTACTTTATTCAAAAGTTTACAGACACTCTGGATAATAAAATGGGCAAATAAACGGGGTGCTCTCTTTTCCTCTCTCTCTCCTGACAGCCCGTCAGTCTCGTGCAGCTCGCTGAACCTGTAATAAGTGACCCGACAGTAAAGAATACACATATTTATAACTAGTTTAGCTAGTTCAAGAGTAGATAAACTAGCTAAGTGTGTTAGGTCTAACCAGGGCCATCCCTCCCTACAGGCCGATCATGCAGGCTGCATGGGGCCTCACATTGCGCAGGGGGCCTCGGCTTATGAGCTCGGCTTGTGCACAGTTCTCAGCGCAGTTCTCCGCGCACCCCCCATCCCCGCTGACACGCGAGAGTGAGAGGTGATAAGGGGAGCACGTCTGTAACCCGACACCGTTGCAATGAATCGACATCTGACCAATCACGGCTTTGATACGGCCACTAGTGCAGGTGAAGAGATGTCGGGGAAAAGACAGTTTCAGTCCGGCGCAAGCAAGAGGGGAAAAAAACAAAACTTGAAGAAACTAGATTATCACTCGAAGGTGGGTTATTGTATGAGTCAAATGTACAACTTGCGAATGTTGTATAAGTCAAATTGCCAATTGCCATATTAAAACATCAGCTGCAATTCACGACATGAAGAAGGCAGTCTCTGCAGCATACAGGCTAATGGAGATGCATGTTATTTCCAGCATTTTTTATTTACCATTCATTTAAGTATGTGATGCCTTTTATCTGCTGATGTACAGGAGGAAGAGTGATACACTGTCTCTCTAGTTGGCTTACATAACAGTTAAAGTTTACAGCCTAAAAACATGGAGCATTTTTTCCCCTTTTATTCATTTTTATGTCAATTTGCACATTTCATGGTGATGCTCAGCCTCTCTCCTTAACTCCTAACAGTCATCATCATGGTGATGCTCAGCCTCTCTCCTTAACTCCTAACAGTCATCATCATGTCAACCACAACACAGAGAAATACTGATAGCAATGTGTGTGTAGTTGTTGATACATTGCTGACAGAGGGAACTACATTTGAATACAGATTTAAGAAATATCAGTTTTTGAGCATGTCATAAGCAAGTTTTGTCTTGACTATATTACAACTATATTATAATAAAATAATATAGTATTTATATTATTGAATTGATTATGATTATTATTATTAGTAGAAGTAGTTTATTTGCCCCCCCTCTTCCCACATAAAAAAAAAACAAGGTAAATATTATATAATTGGTATCAGTAAAATGTATAATCTACAATAAAATCTCGTTTAAAATTGTGTTACGATGTCTAAAGTTACTGATAAGTCACATGTTTCCTGCCTGGCCTTGCCCGTGTATCATTACCCTCTCTCGTCTGGGCGCTATGCACAGCGCCCAGACGAGAGTGCAGCAAGTGCAGCAGAAGCCAACTGTTGCTATCTTTAAACTATGCCGCCGAAACATAATTTCAGCCAATCAGCGTCGTCAAATATGATGGTCACAGGGCGCCTACGTCAGCGCCCGGTGCAATCTGTGAGTTGTTTGGACTCGTATCCAAGGAGACAAAACAGGAAGCTGTCATACACTCTGGAAGCTATCATTAGCAGCTATTATGAAAACTCAGTTTTTGACATAAACATTTAATTATGGTTTATCAATAATTTTTTCAAAGTGACAGACACATTGGATTAACCTATGGATTAACCTTCAGCCGCGTTTTTGCTCGTTTTTGCTCAGAATAACAGCAAAAGGTGAGCATATCTCCGTGTTTTGCTACCTAAAGCTACGTTGTGTGATGTCTGTATTTGCTTCCCCTGTCGCGAGTTCTGATCGCTCAGTGATGATACTTATATTTCTAGAATCTGTGGAATCTCAGCTTGTTAGCTAAGCTTGTTTGTGCATATCCGATAAGTATATCGATTGATTTATACCTAGAGTGCGTTAGCATTTTTTCGCTCAGGGCTCATTTAGACGCTTCTTGTGAGACTTGTGTTTTGTTTTGGTAAACATGGTTCATATCATCAGTTACCTGAGTTTCTTCCCGTTAAATTAGTAGGACACATGAATAGTTTATTACATTTTAAGAAGCCCTGAGACACAGTTTTGTGAGAAAAAAAACGGGGGAAAAAAGCCCCTTAATAGGTTAAATGGGAATTAAATCATTTTAAGTCATTTTGAGTGTTCCCAAAGCCCCGGTGTTCTGCAGTTTGTGTGGGCCTACTGTACTGTTGCACAGTTTATACTGTAGAAACTATGTCCAGGACAAGGTGTTTGGAAGTTCTGGAAGATTCATAGCTAACCACACTGAAGATTATGGAGGTATTGATCAGTCTTCTCATATTTTTAAGCCTCAATTTATCCTTTCTCCCCCTCCCTCTAACATCACTAGAAGTCATAATTTAAGGGGTCTTTTCTCAATTTTTTTTACAGGGGGAACATCCCCCCGGATCCCCCTAGTATTGTTTGTTCACCATTTCCACAGCCCCACCTAAAATATTTTCCACCAGCCGCCACTGTTTATTTGCATTAATTATATTTTAATCTTTTTGAGGCTAGTATTTGGCAGGAAATGCAGACGTGCTAAATGCAGACGTCCTAAATGCAGACGTCCTAATACAGTTACGTCCTCATCTCACAATGTCGCTTTGGGCCCCAAGTTGGCCAGGGACGGCCCTGGGTCTAACTCTTAGTGTATTTTGCTCCACTCAACGGTCCGTCACAGCGGCGGAGCAGTGATCCGGAAGAGCTGCGTGTTCTCCGTCAGCAGCAGCTGATCTGATCTCTGATCTCTCTCTCACGTCTGGTTAGACTTCACTCGCGTTTATGTCCAAATCTATCAGATCTAGCTAGTTCTAGCCATAGATTGTATATATAAATGGACGTAGGGTCCG